TTCAATACTCCAGCACTTGCTTAATAGGTTGTTGTTGTTTTTCTTACCATATAAAGAAAATACAGCGGTCACGGCCTCCCGGTAGCCCGCTATATTCCCTGCAGTGTGGCGCTCATCAGGTTAATCTAGTCCCTTCTGGTGTCATCACAACAACATTTGCGAACAGGGCTAGCTTATAATGTGATGTGAGACTACCTGTTTTCAGTCTCTGCTGGTTTCTCCTTGTGTTTTAATCCTATGTGGTTAAACATCCAACCAGTATTTCTATGGTATGCTTCTATGGTGAGTTCAGATAGATAGATAGATAGATAGATAGATAGATAGATACACTTTATTGTCTGTCCCAACAGTAACAAGGCTCAACTCAAACAATAAAACTTACATTAAAAAACACATTTGAAAAACAAAACACAGAGTACAGACTCATATCTTGCACTGCACGTTATCATCTTCTTTTTGTTTATTTTTGTGCTCTCGCCTTTGTAAACGCGTCCCCTTTGAGTGACCGTAGCTATGCTAGCTATATTCAGTTAAGCACCCTGAAATCTTGATCACACATGTAATGCTAAAACAGTGGAAACTGTTGCACGAGTAATAAAGGCTTGTACATAAACCCATTCTGATTATTGAAGATGACATGGATTTTGTATTATGTTACATTAAACGAAATGTACTGTGAAGCTGACCAGACAACGCTCCTGACATCTGCACATCTGTCCGGGCAAATGTTGAGAAAGTAAGTGCAGTGCAGAACTCATAGGAATGTTTATCACATTATTACAAAAACATTAAACCGTCCTGAATGAATCAGTGCACTATATCTGCTCTTCCTCTCCTCTTATACGTGTTTGTTCTGAGGTGAAGGGAAGAGAACTGCAAGCGTCAAGCTCTGCAGAGAAACAGACAAAAAGAGAAACTTCTCTGTATGTCTTCCTGTAAATGACTGTGGAGCATCCTCTCCTGTTTAATATGGGAGTACTTATTCTGTTGGTTTGTTTTAGGTGTCTAGTTGTTCTTTTGAATAAGTACATCCCCCATCCTCGTCACAGTGACACCTTCATTCTGCAGGATACACTGATTAAATAAAACAGTAGAACTGAATGATGTTCATACCTGTGAATGTGTCACACTGAATAAACAGTTCTAGTGTTGGTCAGGGTTTTACTGAGAAGCTACCATCCCAAATATGAACCAGAGCCTTTTCTGGAATCCTCAACAAGCTGCCCAGGATTAATCACAGTTAAACCCAAGAGCAGCATGGAGGAGAGACGCCCATGTGTTCAGGAGTTTTCTTTTCAATCAATCTGCAGCTCAAGACTTCACGCTGCAGCCATGAAACTGTCAGTGACTGGCTGCCCTCCTGGCACGGAGTTAAGTCCAGATTTACCTCTCTCGTCTTCTCTCCACACATGGAGTCAAGATGCCAGCTGCTCTGCCTCCACCTGCACACATCCACTCAGTGTGTCTGCTTTGAAAAATAACAACTCTCCATCTGCGCTGCTGCCTCCTCTTCTCTCACTGAGCAGTAATTGGTCTTCTCAAATATTTTTATGACTCAGGAATGCAGCTCAGGGTTTACAGCGGACCTTTCATCACGTTATCAGAGCTCAGTCATGTGTGGCAGCCTCCGCCGCCGCGGTGCAGGAAGGATGAGAAAGGACGGACACACTGAGTGATGATGAGCTGGATGTAGCTGCAGGCAGACCGGTGACAAGCAGGTCTTTAACATACAAACAGACTGAAGAACACACAGTCAAGACATTAACAACATTTTAAACATTATTACAGTTTTCTAAATTTCAATGTCTTCCTTTATATTTCAAACCACTGACTGCTTGGACCTGAAACTAAATGCCAAATCCAATTATCCAAATAAGTTTCCCTCAAGCCGTTTTCACATATGCCCTCCTGAAAATATCTAGATAATGTCAGGAGGACTGCTCTGGATATTCTCCTGACCTGGCTGTTCACATATGCTCTTCACAGTGGGCGATCCCTGTCAGACAGGAGGGGGGGGTCTCCAGAAGTAAGAACAACATACTGACTAACAAACATAATACAGCCGAGTTACATGCACAGAGATCTTAGCGGTCGCAACTATTCACTGTGTAGCAGTTACAGTATATAAACCTCACTCCCCCCTCTCATTGGCTCGAGCTGAATTCTCCAGAGAACATCCTGCTGCGTTCTCACATCAGCTCACTCAGACTTGCTGCAGAAAAAAAACACTGCGGGGTCTCGCAGGAGAAACTCCCGGTGATGGCTGTTTGCGTTTATACAGCTCCTCCCGCAAATATGGGCAAAGTGAAAGTGTGAAAGCCCTTTTAGAAGCTTGCAAGGTTTGCACAAAAGTATTATCCATGCAAATCGGTACAAGTTGGTATGAGGGGGGGTGATGTTCATGTTGATGACAGACTGAAGGCACCACTGCACAGTCTGATGCCTGAAGCACTAAGTACAACAGTATTGACGTTATTGACAGTTCAGACAGACTCGGGCTTCTTTTGTGGTGACAACGCTGATAATACTACCCAACTTATAATGCACCTCAGTATTTGAGAGAAGAAGAGCTAATGCAAGTGATCGTAAGAGTAATTCATATCTCTGCTTATGTTTTCACCTGCAGTTTCCTGCATACCACTACACACTGTAAAACTCAAAAAAGTATCCTCATCACTTGGGGAAAGTTCTCCAAGTTCTGTCTCAGGTATTTCCCACAGTGCTTTGTTGCTGGCTGCAACAACTTGTGGCTGTGTCCAGATTGTTGAGCTGGCATTAAAGCACAACAGACATGCCAGCATACAGAGGCAATATCACGTCTGATGGATCTGTTGTCTCCTGGTCTTCACCCTGCACAGGTTTACGTTGAGAGGTTTGTGCTGATGACTCACTGGTGAACTGTGGAGTTCCTCAGCATGCATGTGTTTCCTTTCTCCATGGCTGTTACATGACTGCTGAGCTGCAGCTCATTCTGTGAGACATGAATGGAGATGTGAAGACTTCATCACTCCCCCCCCCTGGGGAGTTAGATTTCACTGCTGCATGTAGGTGGATGACTGCATCGGCTCTGCAAAGGCACGAAACTAAAGTTCAGGGGTCAATTGGTGAACCACTGGTGAGACTGCTGAATGGGACTAAGACTGTATGCATCCAAATGTAAACAGTCCTATGGCACAGGCTCTTTGAGGAAAGTCCTACCACTACCAAAGTTGAGTGAAGAATGAAGTGCCTGCTTCCCCTGGTCTATGCAGAGGTTTGAGTAAACTGAGTTTGAAAATTGAGTAAAAATGTTGCAGGTAAAAAAGACAGAATGATAACTGCACATGATGGAACATAAAAAGAAAGAGCGAATCTAAATAAAAAAAGAAACAAATTCAATGATTGGAGAATGTCAGCAAGGAATGTGTTTGATCTTAAATGATAAATGGACTTGAGCTTGTATAGCACTTTTCTAGTCTTCTGACTACTCAGTACTTTCACACCTCAGGTCACACCTACACATTCACACACTGATGGAAGAGGCTGCTACGTAAAGTGACCATCAGTATTAACTAATCCATTCATACACATTCATGCGCCACTGACCAAGCAGCGGGAGTAACTTGGGGTTAAGTGTCTTACACAAGGACTCATCGGACATGTAGCTGCAGGAGCTGGGGATCAAACCCCTGACCTTCCGTTTGAGAGACGACAGACTCTACCAATGAGCCATGACCGCCCAATAATGAAATCACACCTGCAGGAATGGCTTATCACAGTAGATCTAAATATCACAATGGTTGGATCATCAAAGTTGACATGGTTTAATTACTGTTTCAAGCCTGTCTCTGTGTCGTGTTGCTGTTTGTTTTTATTGACGACAGACCATTTTTCCCCTTGGTAATTTTCAGGATAACCACCTGTTTTCAAGTTAGGTGAACAGACCTAGTGAGTCAGAACAACAATATTTGGATCCTGACACTGCAGAAGCTAAAAGGAATTCGGACATCATTCATACTATACATCTGTGTTTTTCCTGCTGTGAAACAATCTCTTTCTTAAGAGACCAATAAGCAATATTGACATGTGGGACTAAAGTACCACAAACAGTTTCTAGCACCTTGAAAAATGTCTACCATCCTTGTGTAAGACTTCTAGTCACATAAATTTGTTAAAACAATTCTTGGTTTGCAGCTTAAGTTAACTCATCAGTTACTTATTCATGGTGTTCTTTTGGTTCCTCAACAGAGAAAGTGGATTTGGTGCAGCAGTTCTCCCTGATGTTGGTCCAGGACAACAATGTGTCCCTCTCAGCCGACAGTCTGATGTGTCCAACTCTCCAAATCAGCCTTTATGACAGTCTCATGATGGCCACACAGCAGGCATTTGGACCAAGGTACTCTCTTTTGTCCCTTCTTCTCATTATCAGTTCACACAGATCCACTAGACTAACGACTGTGAGTGTGATGAAGAAAATCCAAGAATCAGGCAATAGTTTGACAGTGTGACACATAACTGACTTTCTTTCTGAGAGTGTGATGAAAACATTGGCATCACACTAATGTTCTTAATGTTTAGCTGAGCTAACACATCTGTTTGTGTGCAGTTGAAATATTACTGAATGAATTTGTATCATTTGTCAAGCTTGTTAAATCTGAGCAATTGATTCCTTTTTGCTTGCTAAGTAGAAAATGTTTGAACCGTTGGTTTAGACAGAAGAAGCAATGTCAAGACAACATTTTCAGGTCTAGGAAGTAACAAACAATTATTATATTAACAAAATGGATGATTTATATAAAAATTAGGGTCTGACCAAAATGTTTTTTTTTGGGTCTGATACCGATATCGGGGAGGGAAAAAAATCTGATACCGATAAATCAGCCGATATCTTTCTTTTATCCATGTATGATCTTTAGCAATAGTTTAATACACATTTATTGTGTTTCCACTTGTGTAAATGATTTTTAATGAAGACAAGATGGTCACTCAACTGGAAAGAAGTGGGGAAAATGTACGTATGCATGTCATCGCTTGACACTCCGGAGAGGGATAATGCTTGTTGTAATCCATGTAGCACACTGCTGGTGAAAAGAAGAGAACTGCTAGTGTAAAACAATGATACTCAAATGAAAAGCTCATTGATTGGTGAATAAATCGAGTAATATCAGCCCATATCTGCAATAAAATGAGCCGATACTGATAGTCACTGGATATGCTAATATCGGCTAATAAATATATCACGGTTAGCTGCAGTCAAGAAGTTGTTGGTGTTTGTATTTCTGAACTTCAGACTGATCGAGGACAGCAGATTCCATTGACTCTGATTCCTCTGATGTGTGAGAAGCTTACCTTAACCTTAAAGCTGGACTATCAAGACATGTCTGGATAATAAATTAGATGGTGCTCAAAACAAAAACTTGAAAACGGTTCAAGCTTTCATCCCATTTAACAGTGAACACTCTTGTTTTCTAACATATTAGACTATTCCGTCTTGTGATTGAGTCTTTTTCACAGAGATCACATGAATACATATCGTGCGTTCGTCTTTGTGTTTAAAGGGAAGATGTCATCATATTTCTTCTTCACATACTGTGTTTTTTATGTCTTTGCTGCAGGTTCTCAGAGGAGTTCAGTTTGCTGATGGAGTTGCGTAGCTCTCAGAAAGAGGAGAGCAATGTGCTGACGGTGTTAAACTCCCAGCATCACATCCACCTGCAGCTCCGCCTCGGCCCGCGTTCACTCACCTTCATCTCCACTCAGCACAGAGAATACGAGTACGTGTGATCCTCAGATTAACCATGCTATATGTACAGATTATTTCTTAAATGTCTCTACACTCTCTTCATCTACCCTCCCTGAATCTAATCCAGGTTCCCAGTGGGGTCTCTGTGCGACGGCCAGTGGCACCGGGTCTCGCTGGGGGTCTCCCCGCTCTGGCTGGAGGTGTATGTGGACTGCTCTCTGGTGGAGAGGGTGAACTGGGCCTATCCATGGCAGGACATCTCCAGTGACGGCCTGCTGATGATCGGAGGCAGCCTGGAGCCCTTTGAGACGCCCTTTGAAGTAAGGGAACATAGTTCTCATGAATGTTACAGAAACAATGCTTATTTTGAAGGTTTTCTTGGGATTAATTACTTTTATGAAGAAGGGTTCATTTAGTTCTAAACTGCTATTTGGTGGCAGTCAAGAAAGCTTGATTGTTATCTTGGTAATTCTGACCTACCTAATTCTACGTAGTTATCCCTTTAGTTTTGTTAAGTGGGAGTTGTGTCTGTTGTAAATGTTTAATGATGAAATTGTGAAACAAACTGTGAATTATTTTAGAATTTAATCAGCAGTGGACAGACAAAAGCAACAGAACACACATGGCTGACAAACGTTTCATGGTAACAGTCTTCCTTATATTCTGTTAGCAGGTACAGCCAACAAATGCATTTCCATCTGGATACACTTCAGGCTAGAGAGGTGACATTAGCTTGACTTGTAAACGTCATTTTACAGCCTGTCCTAACAGCACGTATTGCATGCAAGCACCAGCAAAAAATTCAGCTGAATTCTATTGATTCCTATTGTAGTGTCCTAACTGCCCGCGAGCGACGCAGTTTCTATTTTCCTCTCTGTCGCTCGCGTAGACAGACCAGGAAGGAGGAAGGTGGTGGCTCTACCAGGCACTGACACCTTTCTCTCTCAACAGAGCTTGTTTTACAAAATGGAGATAGTGGTGCTTTATTAATATTCACATCCGTGATTGAAATGTTGAACTTGTGTCAACAACACCAGAGAAAAACTTTTTTTCAGTCTTTTTCAGAACAAGCTAGAAACTCCTCACAGGCACTTTAAAACAATCTGAGCCTGTCTGTGGCAAAAAAAACAAGCACAACTTTGATTTGGGTCAACTAGACCAAAAGGATTATGATATAACCTTTCAGCCAGTTCTATGTCTACAGGCTTCAGCCTCTTTCTGGAGCAATTTAAAAAATGTTTTTACCTTTTAGTCATTTAGACCCAAAATACAAGAATTCCTTTTTCAGTAATGTGACCTGAGTAGCTGTGACTTAGAACTTGTCTTCACCCTAATTGAAGCCAGAACTATTGTGACAGTGTGTCTCACTGGACTCATTTATCATGTAGATGAAGTTTTTGTCTCAAATCCAAACACGCAGAAGTCAGGGTCATGGACAGGCATGGATCTTGATTGATGTCCGCTCCTGGCTCTCTTGACCTCCTCTTAAGTATGAAGTGGAGGAACGAGTCTATATGGTGTGGTGGTGGTGGTGGTGAGGATGGGGTGGGGTGAAGTTACCTATGGATGAACCTCTGACCTCTCCTTCCCGTCGGTGTCCTCAGGGAGCGCTGAGACAAATGAGTGTTGTGATGGGGGATCCAGACGCTGCCAGAGACCACTGTACTCTCCACCAGCCTGCCTGCAACCAAACAACCTCTGATGAACTCTGGGTAGGAGAGTCACAACAAACTGTTTTGTATTTCGGCTGTACAGATTGTGTTAATATATCAACTGCTGTTGTAGAAGAAACTGTCAAACAAACCTTTGCCCTCTCCTTAAAAAATGTTTTTTTCTGCTTCATATTATAGAATATTATTTATGCATAGAAAATGAGCATATATCAAAAACTAATTGAAAAAGATCTAATTTTCTTCTCCCCTTTTTACATTTAGGTTTGTTTTGGACACATTTTGGTGCTGTGTTAGCATCTTTTAATGAAAAGAGACGGATACATTTTTTTATTAATGACACAATTTTAACTGATTTCTCTGTTATCATGGTTTATTATCTTACCTAGACTCATCCTTGGTTGTAAAGATTATTGGAAGATAAAGCATTTAAAAATGACTCCAGAAAATGACATTACAGTTAGGGATGTTTCCAGGAAATTTCTTTTTATATAACAAAACTAAAGACAGGATCGAAGCGTCTGCGATCATGGCTAACAATAGCAGTGCTAGCACCACCGTTATTAGGTCCTTTTTGCAAGTTAATGTCCACATGACAGCTTTCATACAACTTTTTCTCCAATAGCTTGATCGAAATACTGCCAAACACGAAACCCTATAAATGCTTGTTTACATCAGGGCAGTAGACCTGTAGTAGAGAAAGCCCATTAGCTGGGGCTGCGGCCAGTCTATGGCCCTGATTGTTCCAGGTGGGGGGCTGCATGTCAGCTTAGACACAATATTTGATATTGAGAGCCAAAATATAAAGATTATTTGTTTAAACAACTATTAATTCTGTTGCAGACTTTCAATGGTGATAAAGTTTAGTGATTTAGTCGGCTACTTGCGCAGAGCCTCTAATTAGAATAAACAAAACAAACACTGTCGGTACTGACTTGATATTTTCATTGCAGAGTTCAGGGGCAGGGGGTTAAGTTCAGTTGTGGCAGTAGCTCAGTCTGTAGGGACTTGGGAATAGAAGGGTCGCCGGTTCAAGTCCAGATCAAATCTGGCATCTGGAGTGGTGCCAGAGGTGACCGGCCGAGGTGACCTAGAGCAAGTCACTGAACCCTCATCAGCTCAGGAAACGCTTGCTGTGGGCAGCCCCCCTCACTCTGACATCTCTCTATTACTGCATGTCCATAGGATCCTGTTTGTGCATGTGTGTGTATTTCAGCAGATGTGTGTAGCATGTTCAACAACAGAGTGTAAAAATGAATTTCCCCTCGCAGGATTAATAAAGTACATCTTCTTCTTCTATTTTATATTTTGAATCTTATTTCCCCCCTGAGATAACCTGTGGTCATAGTTTCCTGTTATTTACCACATATCAGTTGGAGTTCGTTCTATCATCCTTCTCTCTCTCTTTTCCAATTCAGAAAGTACTCTCCGGCGTCAGGCCCCACGAGTCGTCTAACCGCGCAGAAGGATCCACACATCAGGAGCCAAACCGTCAGGTGAGTCAACAGTCAGAAGCGAGAGCACTGTTGATGTAATCGACTTTTATTCACATTGCACACATTTGTATTTGAGTTCAGATCCGGTTATGTTCTCTCAGGGTGGCTCATGTGGAGACGGCGGTGCTGTTTGCACACATCTTCTACAGTTCATGTTGCTATGAGTTTCTGTATAATGGCTCTAACACGGTGAGGAGGGAGCAGTGAATAAATGGTCGTAAGTGTGTTCTTGTCAGTTAAATATAACAGAAGGAAAACACATTTGACTGATTTGTAGTTCTTTTAACACTCTGTCTTCATGTTAGCTTGTATGGAACGTCTGTTTTGCATTAGCAGTATGGAAACAAGGCTCGTATCATCAGCACTCACTACATTATGTGTGTGTGCAAGTGCAGAGGCTGAAGGATGGGTTCGCTCTTATGAACGCCCCCTCAGGGAGGATTGTGGTTTTGCCCTGTGTTCATTCATTACCAGTCCTTCTAGCTGCATCCTCAGAGCTGCCACTATACGCCTTCGTACGGCGCTCGCCAACTTTCCGTGCTCTTCAGAGGATGTTGCTTTCAGGGTGGTGGGAGCCTGAAGGTTCGTGGTTCAGATGGCTGAGTGGGTCGGTAAAACCCTCCAGGACAGCGTGGATGATTAAAGATCTGCCTTCAGAGATCTATTTTGTTTTTGCCGTCAGTACTTTTTGTGCTCCGTTCAACACATCCCTGTTTCATCTTTCAGCCTTTAACTTTTAACATACTTTTCTTTAGTGGAAGGATTCACTGAGTGGAAATAGGAAAAGTGTCTTTAATGTCATTACGAAAAAAAGGAAGGAGGAGGAAAACAACCTTTAGAATATTCTCTACAAGTCTTCAGAAATGTGGATGACATGGATACCACAACACAAAGAACAGATTATTTATTGATGACATGACATTAACACAAATCACAACTTCATGAATCCAGATATGGAGCAACGTCTCTGAAACCTGAAAACTGGTGAGCTGTTTTTGTTGCGATGTTTCAAAAACAATGTCCAAAAGCTCGGGGGTCCCGACCTCTGTTTAACTCTCTATACCCGTGTCTGTCGTGTTGATTTGTAGTTTTATTAGGTTTCCCCCTTCAGAAGTCAGAGTGTGACAGTTGAGCTGTCAGGTCGCAAACTGTCCGGCTACAAAGATGTTTATCTGTAAACGACTTAAACAGCCCTCAGAACAGCAAACACACAAGCTCTGTTAAAGCTTTATTTAAGATTTTAAAATGTCTTCTTCAGATGTGTTTACTTCCTTCTTAAGTTATCTGCTTTTTGTCAACAATTTTACTGTTTACATTCAGTTTGGTCCAAATAAATTAGAGGACGTAGCTCGGAGAAAGTTACTCACTGTCAAACACTGAGGCTATCGAGGCAACTCTCTGATTATGAAGTATTGTTGACGGTAGCAGACATATTGGTTTTATAATCCATGGCTGTAATTTAAAGTTAGTTTGGTTGATGTTGGTCATGTTTAAAGTAGGGCCCGACTGATACAGGATTTTTAGGGAGAAAGAGAACTGCTAGTGTAATACCTGCGATAAAAATTAGCCGATACGATAGTCATCTAGTATGCTAATATCGGCTGATTTATTGGCTCTAGTTTAAAGGCTGCAGGTCGTGTTTTAGTAACTTTGCCCTGAGGTGAGAAGTTACCGTTTGTTTGATATGGTAAATTAAGGACGACAGTACAGCAGCGTGACGTCACAATAAAGAGAGACTTCATAATGAGTGAATAATTAATTGTTTTATAAGTTTAGAAAAGGATGAGAAATGTTTATTGTCTTTGACGATTATACCCCATCAAGTCGTCTTCATGTACTGAAGAACAGATTTAAAATTGACAGCTGCATGGTGATTGGTCAACAGAGAATTCAGACTTTGAAAATCAGGTTGATTGAGTACTTCTGTGAGAAGTTTGTATGTGGTTATGAAACAGATTGAAATTAATATTGATACGTCTTCATGAGCTAAAAAAGCAAACAAGGCCTTCAGTGACATGATTGATTATTTCAACATCCTTATTTTTAATGTTTGTAAATGCTGCTGCAGGGTTGGCGCCAGGCGAGGAGATTAACAGCAGCCTTCAGCGACGAGACATTTTCCACCGCAAATATTTGCAGAGATGATGAGATTGACAGTTTAAAGACAGCAGGATGGGACTTTTGGCTAACACATTAAAGAACAAGATCACTAAAGAAATCAGAAGTGCCACTTTGTACCACAGGCGTCGCAAACTGACACAGTCAGAAAGTTCCTGACAGGAGCTTTAAAACAGTAAATGCCCACATCTGAACACCCGAGCAGGACGAGGGGTGTCAAACCGGGCCCCTCCTCCTGGGCTCATCACCACCACAAGCGCACACACACTGCAGGACTTCACATACCTGTAGATACACTGCAAGCTACCTCAGGAGGCCTATTACATTTGTTGCAATGCAAAAGCCAATAATCTAGCACAAGATAACTTCCGGTGTTTGGCGCCTGCCTCTCCAAATGAGAGCAGGCCAACTCTGTTTCTGCGGTTCACCCTCATTATGGAACAAGCTTTATCCGCTTGGAGCTTCGCCTCACTATGATTATATTTCCTCTTCTTTGATGCTTCTTTCACCAATGTCATATTCATTGGTTTGAATCTTGTCCAATCATTGAATTGTATCCGCATTACTTTAGTGTAAGTCTATATTTTAGTTTTTAGGAAAATTAAGCTTTTCAGTCTACCTTTAATGAACGAATGAGTCTTCTTCTTCTTCCTGCTTGAACTTGCACTGAACTTCATTTGTTGTGTGAAGGTGCCGTAAGAGGAAAGAGTACGCAGTCACTTCAAGTGGACACTAATCTGTGTCAGACATCAGCCTTCCAGATGTAGCATTTTACAACACTGAGCTATTTCACATCCAAACCAACTGTGAGGGAGCATTACCAATTACAGATTGCTGCTGTTAGTGCAAGACCTTACTCCAGCCAATGAGAGAAGAGCTGATGAGTTCTGCAGTCTCTGTTTTGTGGTACTTTGATGTCACGTAACCAGTCATGTACACTGGGAATGCAAATGCCAGTGTTAACAGACACGCTGTACTAAAGCTGCTGAACAAGGGCATCACCATTTATACAAGTCATTAATGTTGAGTCAACCACTACTTTTCAAAGCTGGTGATGTTTGTGTTCTGTTTGAACAGGTCGTATGATTAGAGCTGACGTATCAGGGGCATCGTGACCTGACTGATATGAACCAATCTGCAAGTGTTAAGTGCAAATGTCTGGATCGTCATTTCTAAAATTCTCTGTTTCTGTCAGTACAAATTGGAACACATGCATGAGCATTTCAAGCTACATATGATCAGCAGCTTTTTCAAAAGTAACCATTTTAGGGGCTTTCAAATGATTGATTATGGTTAGTGCTTTTCTCAGAGGTAGGAACGAATCAGAATCAGAATGTATTGCTCAGTATGTTGACACATTCAATTAGGTTGACTGTTTTTGGTTTAAAGCAATTAACACAACAGTAGAATAAAGATGTAAAAGGCTATTAAACAGAAGTTCTTGTACTGTCAAGGAACTAAAGATGTAAAACTTGATGTATAAAAGCAATGTAAGCTAAAGCAATTGAAGGTTGTGTGTTTTGCAGACAAACTTTGAGCCGTAGCAAAGCTGAGTGGCTCCTTAGACAGCTCTTTAGATCAAGCAGTGTTTGTCACTGTTTTGAACAGTCCCTCAGTTTGAACCACTGAATTACTTCAATTACTACCAAGCAAAATAATCTAAATTCATGAAGCAGAACAAAAAAACGTTCTCAGTCCCATCAGTTTTTCAACTCCAACATATCCTGCAAAACCTGCAAAATTGATTGTTTGTAAACTGGCTGAAGTTCTGAGCATGCTCTATGTGAACATATTCCCTGCTGGCTTGTGCCAATTCCTATTTACTATTATTGTTTGCATTAATACTAGAGTCTCATGTTAATGTTTGTATGAGTTACTGATGCTCTTTGACTCTACAGTCTGTGCTGCAGACAAATATACACTCATGGAGACTAAAAACTGAATTATCTCAGTTCCATCTGTTACTGCAGGGGGCTTTGGAGTCCCATCGATGGTGGTCACCATGCTGGAAACCATGCTGATCTCACCCTAACTTTCAGTCAACCTAACGACAGGCTGGGAGCTGGAGCTGAGGAGGGTTTTAAGCCTCCTGACAAACCATTACAGCGCGCCCGCCAATCGGGTCAGATACGAGTCTTATTATGAATGACGCTTATCCTTCATAAGATCAAAACTGATGAGTTATCAATAAAGTCAACCCCCGCACAGTGTGTACCAATCGAGACTTGAGCTGCAAACATGTTTATTTCTGTTTTTTTGATGGGTGTGTGTGTGACTTATGTTGCTCTTGGAGCCAGCCTCTAGTGGACACTCGAAGAAGTGCACTTCCACATTGGCTTTATTTTCCAACACCATAGCTTGGAGTGAGGTCAGCAGAGCTGCAGGTTCTGCACTGGGTCTACATGCTGTTTAATTATAGTATTGCTCAGGTTTGCTGTACCTGTTTGAAAAGGCATGCAACACATCTTAATTGTTTGCTCTCATCTGTAGTCCTTTTTCAGTAAATGTTAGACACGACATTAGACACGGTCTGTCAAAAAGGTTGAAAACAGCTCAACTCTTTTTTTACACGGTTTTCATAGATGAGAAGAGCCAAACCAGGTTTTAACAAGAAGGTAAATCCACCTGGACTCACTTCACTCTTCTTTTGAGGCTGTCCTGTTAATCTTTATGACAGAATTCATCACAGGTCTCAAAATCATCCTCTCTTTAGACATGGAAAGATTTTCTCACAGTCAAATGAAAACTATGAATTAGAACTCCATTATTCTGAAAAAAGGTCTTACTGTAATTATGTATTTCTCTTGCTTTGAAAACTGTTGGAAATATTTGCGGTAATGTGAGTACTCAACAAAAGAATATATATAACATAGGTTTATCAA